ATCTTCGGGTACTGCAGAAACTCCGGATCCTGTGATGGGGGAGCACTTCAGCGGACTTACCGTAGAGCCACGAGCCCCTCAGGAGTTTCTTTTGCCTTTGCTGATGCCCTGGCAAGCATTATTATCCTGTCTCCATTCCTGACAGGGGCTGACTGGGAAGGGCGTATGACAGCTGGTAGACATGAAAAGGCAGACAGGTATATTCCACATTTAGGAAAGGGCTGTCCATAGGGACAAAACTCAAAATGTTAAAAAGAAAACCAAAGGCTACAATATATGTGTAATTAATTAACACCCTTCAGATTAGATCAGTACATTTGAGGTAATATATACACTGATTTTCTTTATACTGCTCCTTTATCCAATTGCACAGGAAGTTTCATTGTAGTGGTAAGTAAAAGGGACTGCAGATACAATTTCCATGGCACAAAACCCTAAGGGTATCCATGTAATATATGAAAACAGTGGTTATGTCTGCTCAGGTTCATGATTTATCTGCATGTGGGACTGAACTGTGGCTTCTTCATTATAAAACTCCTCTAGCTCATGTTATCTACACTACCTCTATTTCTACCAATAAACTACATCCAATTTTCCTCCTCCTGTGACCTATTTAATGTTTTATTTAATACTTTTGATACCTGCATCAGAAGGAATCTCCCTCTCACATTATTTACTTTCAACATAAATAGGAAATGACTGAATTCCAAGCCTGTGCATCTCAAAAGATGAGAAAAAACAAAGATGTATCTGTATTTTTATCTGATCCCAGCTCTACTATGGGTCAAAATACAGCTCAGGTCACTGAAGTTGGAAGTTCGCAGCCAGATCCAGTTTTGGTTTAATTCTTCAGCTATACTGGCAGGCACTGCAGGAAAAAGGACATCAGCCCTCTCCCGTCATGCCTTTTCAATTCCTTTTCGTTCACCTAGAGAACTAACTTACGTGAAATTAGGACAACTTACAGCAGGACAAGAATAATTTTGCCAGGCTTCCCAGGTAAGATAACATCATATCAGAAGATCAAAAAACAGCTTCTTCCCTGAGACTCTTCTTACCAAAGCTGCACAGATTTTATAGATTTAATGGCACTGACCTCTGTCATGGCAGAATACGACATCACTGATATTTATTAGTGCAGAACAGAAGACGTGACCTACTAAATCATCAGTCTCCCGGCTACTGCCTAAGTGGAGTTTTTGCCCATCGTGCTATAAAAAGATGAAGCCCTGAAATTCAATGGGAAGTATAAAATGTACATTGCACCTAAGAAGAAGCGATGCTAAATGACTTAGACACATGCAATCCTTTTTACCTTCCCATTATAAACAAAATTACCTCAACTGAGAAGCTTGAGGCATGATCTCATGCCATAAAGCCCACTTAAACTTGAAAAATAATTAAATGATAGTGCATTCCT